TTTTTTTTTTTAGACCTAAAAAGACCTAAAATTTTTAGACCTAAAAAGCAGAATGGTTGTTAATTCTATCACTGAAAAGTTGGTCTAGAATAATTCAGCAAAACAGTCAATTACCTTGTTGTAATTGACATCAGTGGTATATTACCAGTAGCTGTACAACCACCTTTACAATGGCACATAGCTAATGCGTTTGGATCAAAACCCCATTCAAGAAGCCGTTGAGCAATTTCGTATTTTTTATGTGCAATAGCCATATGTAGGGTATTTAAAACGGCGCATGTTGATCTAAAATAGTACAGAAATTAAAGTTCTGCAGTAACCAGGTTATTAAAAAATAGCAATGCGATAGTTAGCTACAGTGCGGTATTAAAGTTCTAATTATTGATACTATAGACAACAATGATAGAAGTTTTACACAACATACATATGGTAAATAAATAATTACAAACTTTCCAGACGAATGTATCGACAGAGTCGATGATGTGTTAGAACGCCGTTGGCTATGATGTCGTTTTTGAGTAAGATCACTTAACGTATTGGTACTGCCAACACTTGGTGATGACGACAGTAGGGGTTGCTTGTTGGAATACATGGCCAAAGTTCGTTCGACAAGAAAGAGATCATCAAAGTGTATGGCCTGTAAATGAAAATACTTTCTTACTATTTTGTTCAAGAATTCTCTCACGCACACACTTGATTTACTGAAAATAACAGATCTCTTTTTATTCTGTTTATTCAACTGCAGCTCAATTTTTACAAAAAACTAACTTTATACTTTCAGGCAAAAATTATACAAATTTGGTGAGCAGAATAAACTTGTATCATAACTGGCAATGAGATCACTAACATCTAGCATCAGTTCAGAGAGGTTTTGACTAATCGACGGATTTCGTTCATCTTTCAGTGTCTTTTGTGTTGGTGAAACAAAGGTAAAAGATCTTCCACTTTCAGTAGGAGTGCCAACTAACGAGGAACACTCGCTACTTTCGCCAGTATATTTACGTCCTTAAAGTCAAAAAACTGATCAGTAACTGCCGATAAGAAGTCGGATATATAGAATAGATCAGGATTATTTGATGCAAGGCAACCTGACTGTCCAGACTGTTGTCGTTGAAGTCGTTCACGTAGCCTTTTGGCTTGTGATATTGAGCATTCCTGATTTTGAAGCTCATTTGTGTAACCAAAGGCATACCGTTCCACTGATGACTGACGGCTAGAATCCGTCTTTCTGTAGTTGTCTGAGCCTTTTATCGACATGACGAGACTTTTTGCACCGATATATACGCCCACTTTTTAACAGTACTGTACAGTGGCGTTTTAATCCACAGTCGAAGAAAATTTTCCATGTTTTCTGTTAAAATTGCATAGGAATTTGATTACAACAGCATCAATTACAAAAATATAATAATAAAAAAAAAAAAGAAAAAAAATTTGTAAATGTCGTGTTTGTGAAATTACTTCTAAAACTTATTACTTATTGTTTGAAAAATTGATTAGAACCAGCTGTCGTCCATTGGAGTTGATAGCTTTTTATATGTGGCATAAGTTTTAGAGAAATTTTGTCGTAGATACTAAAATTTATTTTATATTTTTTTACATGAAACACCTTCACAGCAGTGAAAATTCTAAAAGAAAAAACTCGCGAACATTTTGATAGCAAAATACACGATGGTAACGCATAAAGAAATATACTTCTGACGAAAAAAAAAGCTATTAGCTTCTAAACTATTAAGTTTAATTCGCTTCTTTATTTGCATAAATAATTTGCTAAATCAAAGCAGACCTCTTATTCAAAACACCAAATTTTGAGAGTTATGGGTATGTTGTATTCTTATTATTTGCTATAACTGTTAAAAGAACTTAAATGAAATACATTACACACTGCGTAAAGTTTTAACTAATTGACTGTGATGTTTTTTACCGGTACATATGAGTTTAGATTTCTTGAACTTTCTTTATAGGTGACACACTGCCGTAAACAAATTAATATGGTAACGCTGTTACCCACATTGTTCTGTCATCAGTCTTATTTATCATCCGTTGTCGTATAACGGCAGAATCTTTTCTAACAAGTGATGCTGAAGGAGATACTAGAATTTTACAACTGTCTTTTTTTTTTGACTTGACAGCAAACAGCAAAATATGATGATAATAACAAAAAATTTTCCGTTTCTAGTTAAACTTTATCTTCTTTTTTTGTTTTTTAGATAGTTGCTCAATTTGTGAAAAATTTTAACAGACTGTCTTGCGCTAATTTTTTGCACTGGTAAAAAGTAATATTTTGTAATAGTTAAAGCAAAATTTTTGAGGTATCAGACGTATAAAAAACTGATTTCAAATGCAGTCATGATAGATTTTTTTATTCAAACTTTTTGAGATGCGTCTTTTCTGATTTATCAAAATAATACTTAGGTGCACCTATGGTGGTGGAACATAGAGGCTGTACCTTAAAGTAGAACAAGCATTACTTGACTAATAAAATTTAGAGACTGTGGAGATTTTCATGGTAAATGCAATAATCTGTAATGTTCGTTTGGGTACTGTTGTAATCGAGCACAACTTCACAGAAGTGGTCGTAGAACTATTAGCCAAGAAAGAGCCAAGTTTTCAAAAAATGCTTTTACTAGAGCAATCAGAAGCACGTTTATTAGTGGTAAGTTATTACTCGTTTGCACAGACTCCGAAGAACATTGTATTATCAGATTTGCCAGAAGCTTCCTTAATTCGCTGAAATAAGTAAAAACAATCAAATTGGCAAAAAAATCAGTTGTATCTCTTGACACTTTTCAACCTATTAATTGTAAAGAGATAGAAGAAATCCCAAATTCAAGAGTAGTTGTAAAAATAAAAAAATGATTAACGTTAGCAATCTGGTTAGCAATCTAATCAAAACGTTAGCAATATCATAAAACTTAATGAAATGCTTATTACGCTTTAAAAGGTCTGTCATTTTTGTCACCTTTATGTTTTTTTTAGAGTCTCAACATTTGAAATTTGATCAAAAAAAGTTATTCTTATACAAATCGAAATTAACATTTGAAATATTTTTGTCACTTTCTGCTTAACAAAAAATAAAAAGAATTAGGTGCATAGCACTATTCAACTTAATTTTGGTTAACAAATTATCATAAACGGTACAAGCATTCATATTAATGTCAAAAAAAAACAATAAATTTGAAGACATGTAAGAGAAAGAAAAATAAAAAAATAAAATAAAATAAAATAAAATAAAATAATTCTTATAAAAACTAAACAAAAAAAAGGTACAGGCTGATTTACTTAACACCTATTTAGCGTACCAATCTGTGGTCGGGTAATAGTCGAAAACAAAATAAAGCAGCTCCGGAAAGACATG